GAATATTATAAATAATGCTGATATAAATCAAGTACTGACTAATCATGGACGTTTCTCGGCTTATTTTAATCAGTTCATTCTACAGAATAATGATAAATGCTTAATATGGGCTAAGTTTGGGGACGACAGGCACTTCGTTGATGAATATACGCTTACCCGGAGTTCAAAAGAAAAATATAGAAGGAATTTTAAGGAAGATTTTAAAAGGAACTATTCAAAATTTGAAAGATTTTGCAGAGACAATAATGAAGATTATAAATACGAACAAAGAGAGAATTGGAATTCGGCACTGAGACTCAGATTTTGGACTATATATGTTTTTTTTTATTTGTTGTTTTCTGGCCAGTCCCATTTTTTGAGCATACGGCCGGCTAGAAGGATCGGGGCTGTGCCCTTGTAATGATAATGATAGCATGAACCAGATTACTTGGTAAATTAAATATTGTTAATGCCATATTCACACACACGAGAAAAAGAATGAGCATGTTTTTAAATAAACAATGTGAATTCGAGAACCTCAACAAAAATTAATAACATAAGAATATGCGGCGAAAGCAAAAATACAACCGCGTGCCAATATACGATCACGTGGCAAGGTATAGAAACACGCAGCTGGATTTTGGTGAGATATCTCGGTTGACTGGCGATTCAATCTCGGTGAATCTCTATAACAAAGAAACACCAATTTTTTTACCTTTTTATTATCTGTGAGTTATCTGGAATAGAATTAAAATTTCTTTCAATGCTACTCCGCTACTTTCAATGCTACGTTTATTCCCGCAACGTAGGTTACTATTTGGAATATAAAGTTAAGTTTTCAGCCTGAATCAAAGTTCAACAATTTTTCCCCTTGAGGTTAATCATATGTAGTTTTCAATTTAAAATTAGAGAAATGCGACTCCTCTCATATGACCATTTAATGATAATCGAAAGTTTATTCAGCTCTAATTTCAAAAATATATTGCTGAAATTAATTTGAAATAGTAAGAGAATGAATACTGTGTGGACTAAATGTGCCAAATTTAGGGAAATTCTGTAATACTCTGAAGAAAAAGAGAATTCATGAAATGGACAATAAAAATCAAAGACAAAATTAGGGAATAGTCTTTTGAAGGCTTACACTTAATTCAGCACTATCACAGAATGGAGAGAACTCACTATACGAATATTAGTACTTAGCCTAATTAACAAAATAATCATAATAATGAACTTGAAATACTACAACTCAAAGATATAACTTCAGACAGAGGCAAAAGTATGTGAATGCAAGGCAGAGACACAAAGAGAGCAAATAACAATGTTAGCAAAATAGCACCGATCAACTGATTTGATGTAGGCTTACTACTAACCTCCGACATTCAGAAATACATTCAGAAAGTTATGGCCCACCAGCGGCCGAGCGGTAACGTCGCTGAACACTGGTAATTCTCCGAGTTTCGAATCCCGCGAACGAGCTGGCTGCATGGGTGTTTTCGTGGTTTTCCCCATGTGTATACGAGCCAGTTTCCCTTAAAAAGTCCTCCACGAAGGCATCCCTCCCTTAAGGCGAAGTAGCCCTCGAGTGCTTTCCCGTAATCGAATAAACCAAACCAGAAGTTATGAAACGAAATAAAGTTTGTATACATATCGTACAAAATTAATGTAAAAACTTTCATATTCTAGAATAATTTATTTCTGAAAGTTTGATTAGAAATAAAAAGAGAAGAATGTATATGGAATTTCTTTTCCAAGTATCGTTAAATTTATGCCTTTTTCTTTTTTCAAAATAATCTAATAATTTTCTATAGATTATGTAATACAACACTTTAAAAGTTAGCAATTAAATGTCAAATTTTAGTCTCAAATTTTGACGAGCTTTTCATTTGAAATTAATTATTCTTTCATCTGAAATAACATCTTTTTCCTGCATGGTTTTGAACTTATCTAGAGCAATAATTGCTTCGTTCAGTAATGCTACTTACAGATATAATTGCAATGAAAAAGCTAATCATTTTGGGATATTATTTCAGAGATTTTGGATACTGTAGTATAAACATAGTGTAGTATAAACATAACATGGAATTATTGCATAAAATATTTAGTTAATTCCTTCATAATTCCCCAAAAATAGAAGCCAACGAAAATTTAATATTAAGTATGAAATGGAAAATGTGCTTGGTGCATGAGAATGCACCACACAACCCCACGAGTGCTAATTGTGCTTGGTGCATGAGTAGCAACCGCAAATGTACTTGGTGCATGAATAAAAATGTGCAATGAGTAAAAATGTGCTTGGTGCATGAGTAGCAATCGAAAAACCCCACGAGCACTAATTTCTGGTCAGTTTCTTTTTTTTTTTTTTTTTTTTTTTTTTTGTGTGTGTGTGTGTGTGTGATGAGGTTCATAAGGGCGCTGAATCCACGTTCTACCGAATAGAAAGATGGAAAAGCAGTCAACAACTTCTGTACAATAACCCATAATGCAGAACATAAAATAGGGATCTGTTTTTGCAACCAGAATTTGTGGCATCCTTGTTCAAACATTGGCTTAAGTTCCTCATTCGTGGATATTTCAATAAGCTGCTGATGTATTAGTATGGATTTATCTGTGTTTGGGATCTGAGTTTGGCCACACGCAAAAGGGTTCAATATCCAGTCGGGAATATCCAAATGAAGAATGTCTTCAAATCTTTGGTTCAAGGCTGCATGAAGAGCCGTTAGGTGTTGACAGTAAGCAAACAAATCTTCATCTCTATTTTACAATTTCGAAAGATTTGGAAACGGAGAACATTTCCTCTTCGCAAGTTTTTTTGCACAAAAACGTTTAAACGTTAACTAACGTTAAGGTATTACTATATTGAAAAATAAGGGTTACTATATAATTTTTTCAAAAGAGATCAGTTTTATTCACATATACTTACGTAACAAAAGTACACTATCTGCGTAACAATACAAAAAATGCAACTATACCAAAACTAACGTTAAGGGATTACTATTTTGTTAGTACTATAGCTAAGACTATAACTAATCCCTTAACGTTAGTTAAGTAATTCCTTAGCCAACGTTAAGGGATTACTAGATTGAAAAATGTGATAATTTTTTTTTTTTTTTTTTAAAGAGATCGATTTTTCAAATATACTTACGTATCAAAAGTAGACTATCTGTGTAACGATACAAAAAATGCAACTTTACCAAAACTTCCAATACAAAACTTCTTTTTTGGCTAAAACTGGGGAAATTGTTTATACACTTCGTATCAGCATCACATAGAATTAAATTGTTGATTAGATGTACGATGTACGACTCTTTTATAGTTTATGTTTATACTGTAGACAAGTTAGTGCATGTAGCGGCGTTATTGCTTTTCTGTATAAACCTTTTTCCGGCCATGCTTGTTATTAACTTATGTAACTGGCGCCATATAGAGAGGCTTGTGTCAGTGGATTTTTCTTCTTTTCGTTTTTGAGGGATTATCTCAGTTTTGTGTTCTTTATTCCGTTATTATTTTGTTGTTAGATTGTTGTTAGCGTGTTGATCGAAATCGAAAGCTTAAATTTGTTGAAGTAAATTGAACAATAACTAAGTTTTAGTAATAACATTAAAACAAGTTATACACACCACTATTACTACAAGTGACAAATCAGTGGAAATACGTGTTGCTAATGTTCATTCACAAAAGGTATTGCATAACCCTCAGTACTTAAGTAAAATACTGTATTTTAAGCTCTCACCTGTATTTATATTTTACTCAGGACGTAAAAGTCGCTACTATTTTATTTACTGCTATTTATTTAAATTTCCATAATAATAAAAATGGATCAAAATTTCATTATTTTATATTAAACCTTGTGCAAACCCCCCCCTGACATTGTTCAGGGACGCCCAAATCAATTTTAATTTTCCACGGATCCCCTGAATGATACCAGGGACCCCTGGGGGCCCTTAAGCGCCGTTCACACTGGAACATATCGGAGCTAACGAACACATCCGACGCAAACAACACAGCCGGTCAGCTAGAAAAAACCAGTTTTCGTCACTACGGGCCCAGTTGAAAAATCTGAACTCCACGCAAAACGGAGCTAGTCGACACATGGAACCGACCAATCAGGAGAGTATTTCAAATCATCATCAGCAGCTTGCGCGCTAAGTTCAATAAACAACATGGCTGAAGATATGAGCGACGATTGCAGTCTAATTGCTGAAATCCAGCGACATCCCGTTATATGGGATAACAGACTTAAGGAATATAAAAATAAAATAAAAAAAGAATGCGCGTGGATGATGATTGCGGATCGTCTCCATCGGAATGGTAAGTAATTTTCTTTTTTCTACATTTTTGTGTTTAGATTTTGAATCCGGAGTATTAACTTGAATTACTGATATCAATGATCTCAGATAATATATCTATTTGTATTATAAAGTTAGCAATGAAATTAAAAGTAGTGAAAGCAAAACATGAACAAAAGCGTTAATGTAATTTTTGTCTTCCTTCTTAACTTTTCTCTTCATAAAAAGAAAGGTACTGTTTATTGCCTCATATAATAAAATAAATCGCACAAACTTTATAAATTCGCGCACTCTCTAATCAATTGGAATAAAAATACTATTAATAACAATAAAACATGTTTTTATTTTCTAAATAATTTTTGATGATTTGGAACCTGCATACTTAATGACCAAATTTGAGCAAAAGGAAAGACTAACAACCCCTTGCCATACTTAATTAGTCAACCCAGAAAAGAATAATGGTTATTATAAAATACTGATTCCCATTTTTCTCAAGTAATGATAATTATCTTAATATTTTAACTTTTACTGCTTTGAACTAAGTTCTAAAAACTTTACCTAATTGTCTTCCAGTTAATGCAATATCTCACTTAAAACATTTTCTAATTTTGCTTTGTAAACAGTTTGGGACAATGCTTTTAAACTTTTAATATTCATTTATTACAGTTGATGAGATTATGTACAGGTGGCAGAATTTAAGAAAATTGTATTCGAGAAAAAAAAGAACAGTGGAGATGGGGCTAACTCTGTTCAAAAACCTTGGCCTCTTGCTGCCCAGATGTCTTTTCTGGCTTCTGTTGTGATTTCAAGAAAGTAAGCTATACTTCCATGTCTTCTAAAACACTGTATATGTTTTTTTTTTTAAGGAACCTTCTTCTTGACAGATCATATAATTTTTTGAAAATGGATTTATTTACGATGAATTATATATCAGATTGCCAAATAACATTTTTTATAACTGGTTGTTTACTGTGTTATTAAAAGTATTATGTCGATGATTAAGCCCTTATTTCAAGTTTGTGTTCAAATGTAAATAAACTGGCAGGACAGATAAGATCATCACTAGTATACAGTAGTGTGCTTAAATTCATAAAAATTCAGGTTTTCATACAAATGTAAAAAGCATGAGTTTCATTGTCTTTACACTAAGAATGACTTGTTTTCACCTGTTCCCAAAGCAGTTGTGTTGTAGACATGCTATTAATTACTGCTCGTAGGTGATAAGAAATTTACTTGTCTACCATTTATTTTGGAACGATACATTTTCACAAAACATAAATCTACTCTGTATGTTCACATTGGTATAAGCATAAAATAGTACACTCATTGTTCAAAAGCGGATTATTATATAATTTTTAAATGATTAATGATACACAAACTTAGATACAATGTCTTTTACTAACCTCATGCTGTTTTTGAGATAAAATGGTTTTAACTAATTATTTATTATGTTATGATCATTCTGACTTTTTCTGTTTATACAATTTTCATAAATTATTACAGCATATTAACCATTATTGTACTCATTGGTCTTCATATTCAAAATATAATTTCCCCAGTCATAATGACCATCTACTTCAGATGACTAGTTCTAAAAGTGATCAGTATTTCTGAGAACATATATATAATACCACTAGCAAGTTTCATCTCTCAAGCACTATCATTACCACTGTCTATACATGTTCATTTGGAGGCGATTATACTTTTCTTTGTATGTAAGCCCTTTCAAGTATTTCAGTAAAAAAACTTCACACCACACGCTAGCCACATGGGTATTTTTCATGGTTTAGCCCAGGAGTAGGAACCTTGTAGCTGTAGTGCGCCAAACCAGTTTACTAATATAATTCATGATGCTGTACAGTAGGAAATATTTAAAACAATTTGATTCACACAGCAATACATGCAGAGTTAGGGAACAGAAGGCGAGAATAAAGATTTAGAGTTATATTATATATTACTTTAACAAAAGTGTTCATTAGAAAAATTAAGCACTGTGATGAAATTCTGGCAACTAAACTTTCCTGACAGTGCAGAGAGTAAATACAGGAAGATTTATCTTTGTCTGATAACTTTCTTAAGAGTGGTGTAGAGTGCCACTGAGAACTGTACTGTGTGCCATAAGTTGCCGATGCCTGGTTTAGCACGCATGTTATGTGAATACAAGACAGTTTTCTGTAGAAAGTCCTCTAAAGAGGCATATTCTTTTGTTAGCCATCATGTGCCTAACAAACACATGATGTCATGTATATGACACGTAAATAATATATATAACCAAAGATTCATCTGTTTGTCTAAATCTTATAATATTTCTAAATATAAGGAGAAAGAAATCCTGGTCATAAATTCATAAATTCAAGTTAAAATTTTATTAATTTTTTTTTTTTGAAAAATAAGAGCCCTGACTAAAAAATACTTTTAACTCGGTTATCAAGTTCACTTTTTGGTCCTCTGTTTTACAAATTGTATTCAATGATTAAATGCATAATTTATCTTTAATATTTTTATATCCATTTTTTTCCATGTTCAACTGAAGATTAATAGTTATTCCCATTAATAATAAAATAATCATAGTATGACTAAAACAATTTGATACCCTGTTTTATGCATATAATGACATTGTTTTTATTGCATTAATAATGTAACTAATTGCAGAATTTTTAACAACAGAATAACTAACATATCAAACAGGAAATTTTTCTTAAAAATTCACTGAGTATTTCATTAATATTCATATTAAAAAACTCTCTTTTCGGGGAATATGAAACATAGGTAGCAATGAAGTTTACTTTTTATGTGACTTTGAAGCATTTTCTAAATGTTGAATTAACAGGTCAAACGTAATGAATAGCCACTGAGCTTAACCATCATGGACACTTAACAGAATGCTAGATATACCCAGAAATTATTTAAAATTATTTTTACTTGTTGCTAATACCATATCAAAGAGTGACATTGTGTTTTCTATCAATGACATGAAAATGTTTTTGCTTCTACAAATTAAAAGCTTTTAGAATTGTTTCCCCTTTTACAAAAGTAAAATAATTTGTAAAATGAAACAATTTTTTTTTTTTTTTTTTTTTTTTTGCAGAACAATCACTAATGATATTTGGAATGAGGAGATGGAAGAAAATATGGAGCCAAGCCTCAATAGTTCTGTACATGACTCAGAATTCGACTTGAGTGCCACTGTTCCTTCTGATGATGAAAGAGGTGTAACCGATTTAGAAAGTTTATCAATAATGACAGACAGGACAGAGGCAATGACAGAAAGGGTCGATTTTAGCAGAGAAGCTGCTATGACAGGCTCCAAAACATCTGCATTAAAGAATGGCGATTCAGAATCCAATGTCTGCACTAAAAAGAGGAAAAAAGATGCAACAGATGAAATTCTGGATTTCATGAGAAGTACTACCTCTGTATTGACGGAAAAAGATGATGATGATCCCGACAGAAATTTCTTACTGAGTATGCTACCGGATTTTAAAGAATTAAGCAAAGAGGCAAAATACAAAGCCAAAATGGGTTTTCTGAGCTTATTGCATGAGTTGGGAAAATAAATAAAGTAGCTTCAACTCTTCCATGCTCATTGACTTCATTTTTTTATTTGCTACATAATATATTACTTGCGAAGAGAAAATGTCTTTTTTTTTATTATTATAGAATATTACTAGTATGCAATAAATATATGAAATTAGCTTAAATAATACATAATTTACATACAAAAAGAAACATAAAGAAAGCAGAAAAACTAAATAAATTTATTTTGCCAGGGAACAGCTCCTTCTTCATTAAAATAATGCATGAATCTTTCTCGAATGGCAGCTGCACATTCGGTAGCATTATTGGCACCTTGTCTACCAACTGATGGTAAATGGCTCTCGTCTTGCCTCCACAGACCTTCTTGAACAGATCCATCTTCAAACATAGAATCTGCGTATCCAAATGGACAGTAGCTCTTTGCAGCCTTACCCATTTCATTTCTCATCAGAAAATTATGTAAGCAGCAGCAAGCAAACACAATTCTATCTGCTCTGTCTGGCTGAACGTTGAGAGTGTTTCGAAGTACTCTCCATCGAGCCGTCAAAATTCCAAATGCATTTTCGATGCACCTCCTTGCTCTTGCCAGACGATAATTGAATATTCTTTTATTCCGAGGAAGGAGTTTCCCTGGGAATGGCCGCAACATATTTGTTTTTAAAGGAAATGCTTCATCTGCAATAAAAACAAATGGCAAAACCTTGTTACTTTCAGGAAGCAATGCTGGCTCAGGTAAAAATTTTGAGTTTTGTAATTTTTGACCTAACGAAGAATTGGCAAAAACTCCACCATCACTAATTCGCCCAAAATTTCCAATGTCCACATACAAAAACCTATAATGAGCATCAGATGCTGCCATTAAGACAATGCTGTGGAATCCTTTATAATTGATATAGGACGATCCTGCATTTGGTGGGGCTTGTATAGCAATGTGTTTACCTATAATGAAAGGGAAAAAAAACACTATCAATAAAAACATATTTTATAAGATTTCATCATTCATGAATCTTTGTGAATATGTAATAAAGATATGATAAATTACAATCACAATTATTTTCTATTAAGAAGAAAATTTCAATGCTGAGAAAAGATTATTTTGTTCATATATCAAATTTCATTAAAACATAACACTAGATTTTGTCATTTATAGGTGTTTAAACTAGAATACTAAATATCATTATTTGTAATGTCATAGATGTAATTATATATTCAATAGCATTTAATTAAATAATGAACTGCCAGGGTCAATACTTTATTTCAAAAATAAAAGGTATGCCACTAACCATCAACTGCACCAACACAGTTAGGAAAATGCTACTTATATGAAAAACCATCTGAAACTTCAGTCCAATGGTTTCGTGAACGTATTTCAGGCAAACACAATGGGCCTAAAGTCTGACAAATTGCTTCACAGGTCTCATGTATAATACTGCATACTGTCGATTTGCCAATTCTAAAGCTAAAGGAAAGATCTGCATATGTTCCACCAGTAGCTAAAAACCTTATAAAAAAAATAAATAAAAATACATATTTATTCTGAAATAAAATATCTGAAAAATAGAACTGGTTTGCCATTGTACACATGAAAAAAGAAAAATCTGATATATTTGTTAAACAATTTGTTAAAAATATTTGTTAAACATAAGCTTGTTTTGGTAATTTTAGTTCATCAACTGTTTGTTTGAATATTTATGCGAGTCTATTTTCAGAACTTTTATTTATTTACTTTTTTTTACTCAAAATGTGTTTTAAATAACTTTTTTCAAAACAAGCAGGTTTTTTTAAAAAAAGGACCAATAGTATATATGATAGAAAAGTAAACTCATTTTGCTTATATTTAGTAATAGATAAATGCAACTATAACTGGAAAACACAACTTTCCAAAAACAAATATCAGCTATCGTATATTAGCACAAGATGTACCTGATATTTCATAAGCATATTATTATAGCAAATAGAAGGGTAAAAGTATATTTACGGGTAAACATTGGTAATTTTTGGCGGTACATGCATACAGAGTTTGCACAATTCTTTGACTTGTTACTTTTGGCTTTGTGTATCCTAAAATCACCGCTACGCAAAGCTAAAATAACAAGTCAAAGAATTGCACAAACTCGGTATCCATCTGACACACACACATACCTTTCATACATACCTCCCTCATGTTACATACATCTATTTATTTTACCTTACAAAAGTAAAGAAACATAATGTATACACTACAAAGTCCATAATCCAAACTTGTTGGAACATTGGCGATTCCGGATTATAGATCATCAATTTAAATCAGGTAAGATGGCATGCAGAAATCATACAATTAAAAATATGAAACTGTAATTTATGAAATAAAGAGCAATTATGATCTAAAGGGTATCAAAATTTACAAAAAAAAACTTAATATTTATTTGTTTACTTTATTAAACATTCATCATTTTGTCATATGGTCACTTTTATCATAACGAACCCTTTTTCTGTTAGTCATTGCAAGTGGGGTGTCGGAATTCACAAAATATTCAAAAAGTTCCTTTTTCTTTTTGCTTATGTCATACAGTTGACTTTCCAATGTCATACTCATTTTGCATAATTTTTTGAGACTTTATCCATTTTTTGCAGCAATTCCAATTTTTGTTTGATGGACATCGAAACATGCTTTCGCTTTGTAGATCCTTTGGCAGCTCCTAAATTTGAAACTCTTTTTGACATAATCAAATGTTCAAACTTACTTTTTATAAAATTGCTCTAACAGTCTGCAAAAAATAATAAGCCGGATCCAATTAGAAGATTAAGGAACAGCGCAATCTGCAACATTAACTGAAATGCCTTAGATAATTTTAGCCTAGCTTATTGTAAACACATTGTACGTTTACGCATGCGCATAAAATTTGTAGCTTTGAGGTCCGGATTATGGACCTGCGGATTAGAGACTTTGCACTGTATATGCAGAGGCGTAGCTAGAGTTTCCAGCACCCGAGGGCAACTGATGAATTTGCGCCCCTTTCTGTGTGCCAATAATGGAAAACATTTCATTAAAAAATTTCGTAGCATCAATTTGGCATCGCCCCTTTGATGCTGCGCCTGGGGACAGATGCCCCCCCTTGCCACACCCTAGTTATGCCACTGTATATATGTATACACATGGAAAATATGTGTGTGTATGTGCGTACATATACTCACACACATTTTCTTTTACATAATTAATGGAAACTACAGAGGTTATTGAATTTATGAGTCTTTACTTACCTCAAACAAAGTGCCAGCCTTTCTGATGGAGAAATTGGCTTTCTTAAACGAGTCGTCTTCTTTTCAATTTTCTTTCCAATCAGGGAAAGCAGCTGATCAAACTGATTGCCCTATTATTTAAATATAGATATATGATGTAGGTATAAATTTTTAAAAGTTTTTTTAATTAAAGCGTAAACATCTGTGTATTTCATTAATTTAAATTTGTTTTATTCCAATAATATTATATACGAGCATTTTTCATGAGATTAAAAAAAGGTCACTGAAATGCAACGAACATAACATAGTTCTGTAGGATTAACTAAAACTCATTGAATATTTAAGCTACTATTCTAGAAAGGGGAGGAAGCTTGTACAAAAGATAAAGAATAAAAATTTACATATTATTATGATGGCAGTGTGTACTTGGAATGTTTTGATCATACCTTAATAAAGAACTGCTAGGCCTTTTTAATGCCATAAAATGCTTATTAAAATTATATTCAGTATTACTTCAAGCAAGTTATTACAAAGTCTACTTATGCACACAATTACTAACCTTCGGACAACTCAGTATGGGTTAGAGCTGAATAAAAAGGGAAAATAAAGACGTATAGAATTATTAGTGTTATTGCGATCTGCACGGATTATTTTAATTTTGCTACTACTACTATTTATCTATCATACATTCATTAATATACAATGTGCATGTGAGAGAAAAAAAAAACTTTTAACATATATATTTGTTAATATATATTTCCATACATTTTTCCTAAAATAGTTAGGGTAGTTAACTCATTTTTTTATAATTGATATCCCATCACTAGCAGTGACAATAATAATTTGAAATATGAGAAAAATCAAGGCAACCTTATTTATTGAAATCAAGATAAATTTTCTGCTTGAAGTGAATGAAAAAATACTAAACTTACATTTACAATTTGGGTTAGTCTATATTTTAGGGTGTCCCTTGGATTATCACCAAGTTGTTTAATTTATTGCCAAATTGTTGTTTCATTTATAGTAACCTGAGTAATTGAATGTTATAGAAACCCTATTAAGACATGATTGGTTGCATCATTGAGGTGAATTTGACTGATGGGGGAAAATATTTGTAAGGGCTTATTTCTGCGTTAGATGTCGATTAGTTCTTTGTTCCATTTGAGTTCCGCAATTATTGTGAAAAAGAAAAAAAAAAAAAAAACACGATGTGTCTAAGTACATTGCGTATTTTGTGATTTGCATGGTAAAATGGCTGACAGTAGTAAACTGGGTGTTTGGTGACATAGTACACGAGAATAGAAGGTGTTTTTTTTTTTTTTTAAGTGGTTGAGAACAGAAGAAATTAAATTTTGTCGAATGTAATTCAATGGAATATTTTACCTGAACAATGATCATATCCAACTGCTGGAAGTCGTACAATTGGCTTTTTGATAATGGCTTCGTTCACATCTCAGTAAATCACACAGTGACATTTAAGGATTCAGAAACTGGAGCTCATCTCGAAACCATCAAAGATATGTGGAATATAATAAAAAGGGATTTTCGGAAGAAATACCACCTACAGTCCGGCACTACGTAGGATATTTTTTATTCTTATTTTTGTGAATTTATGTGGCGACAGCAGTATGCATATTCTAGTTCAGATAACTTTAGAAAGTTTTTGGATGCTGTTAAGGAATTTTGTGTACCACAGATTGGAGACACAGAAATTTCTAAATAAGGTAAGTCGATATTTCCTTTTTAAAGTTATTTTTCACTGTGTGATTTAAAATGCAGTTTACGGAGCTTTGATTGGCTACAAATTTGGTTCAATTTTGGCAATGAATAACTTTGTTTAAAATTATATGACATCATCATTCTACTGATTTTTTTAAAGTAAAACCAGATTGATGGACAAAGTCAAGGCTGTGCGCAATGCCAAGATTCTGCAATTCTCTGATGTTTTTATAAGTGAAAATATATCGATGTGTACATGGACACAGAGTTTGTGCAATTCTTAGCATTCTTCAATTAGCAAATAAGCTAAGCATTTTCATTTTACATTGCAAATCATACTTTCATTTTACATTGCAAATCATACATAAAAGGAAATGACAAATAACTAATCATCCTTCACATAAGCATTCTTTTCTTTATGCATTTTAAAATTCTCAATGTTTAAGAAAAATGCAGAAATTGCAATTTTCAATTTATTTTTTTGCAAGAAGCAGAAAATGTAATCTCCTTCATTGATTTGATGATGATTTTGATTTTGATGTTTAGCAGGCTCTTAAAAAAACATGATGAGCATGGATTACAACAAAACTGTATATTAAAATTTGAAATTTTGGGAAATGCTACTATAACATAACTATATTATTGTTATATTCAATGAAAATTGTACTTACCGACATCCTCGTAAAATTGAAGAATAAGTCATGATAATTCTCTCGTAGATGAGGTAGCAAAGCAGAATGATGTCCATGAATTGCTCTCTGCTGGTAAATGGATTTCACCCACTCACTTCGTGGCTTTTTGACTAAAGTCTTATACAATACATATGCTGCAAGAAGAAAACTCCGCAACAAAATACATTTTCGTTGTTTTCTGCTCACCACACGTTTCGATCGAACCATTTTTTTTTTTTTTAAATTCGCTCTATCGCTCGAAGATTAACGGCGGAAGACTGTCTGCTACGAAACGTAAACAAATGAAAGCGCGCGCGAACTCCTACTCGCTTATTGGCTGTCGCTAGTGGACGCTTCTAGTAAGTGTGAACGAGCTAGGTTAGGTAGAGCCGTACTTTCACAGTATTGCCAATTTAGTGATATTTAGCCAATAATAATAATAATAATAATAAACCAAACGTCATATTTCTGTTTGTATCCAAGCACTTTACATGCAGAAAATATTCAGAAAAATCTGTTATGATAGAACATGGCACAACTGTGTATGCAAATACAGATGTTTGCGGATATTTACATTAATTTTATAGCATTGTCCATTCCTTAATCTACACAACACATCCCCAAGAAGTTAAAATCGAAAACAAAAACTCAAGTAAATTATGGCATATCATCCTAAGCAGAGTAATTAATCACAAAGTACTGTCTCAAGTTTGAAGGAATTCAAACAATGAACCCGATTAGTATCTTATATATCTGAAGCTTTCGAAAAAATCATTAAAATTTCGCAATTCTCCAAGTCAAATATCATCTCTCGTTTCCTTTCTATCGATATGGCTTAACTCTTTACGGCACAGTGTGTCCGATCCGGACACACCTAAAAATTTCCTTCTGTAGGCACAGAAAATTTTAATGAAACAGGATTTATAAGTTACTATAGGTTACTCTGAACCTTCTTTATTTATGCGGCGGAACCTTCTTTATTTATGATGCGGAGAATACAAACTCTCTAGATTATCGGTGAGCTCGGTCTGTCAAATGTCCTAGATTATCGGTGAGCCCGGTCTGGGCACACCTAGGGTTCGCCGTTTGATTTTAGACAAGATTTAAAACTAACACAGAATAAGGAGAATAGCATACAGCCAAAAAAAATAACATAGAAATTTCTTTTCAAATAATTCCTTTTACACCCTAAAAAAATCTGGAAGATTTCTTTGAAAAATGAGGATCTTAAAAAACTAAACATGGCTAAAATATATGGACTGGTTTGTATTGAGCTGCCATGTACTATAAATAAAGAAGGTTCAGAGTAACCTATAAATTAATTCAGAAGTGAAACAACAAAAATCATAGTTATATTTTCAAAATGAGAATTTTCAAAATGAATATTTTCAAAATGAAAATATAACGCTATTTTGAAAATAAAACGTTGATTTTTGTTGTTTGACTTCTGAGTTAGTATATGTTCGGCGTGTTATTGTGTCTTAACCTATAAATTATTTTTCATTCAGTTTTTCTGTGCGTACAGAAGGAAATTTTTACGTCTGTCCAGACCAGACACACTGTGCCGCAAAGGTTTAATCAAAGTTTTCAAGTTTATCAATATTTTTGCAATAGAAACAAAACTCAACATTTAAGTGAAAGAGCAAAAGTGGCAGTTAATTGCTAGAGTCGATGAGGAGCAAACACAAACGGAGATCCCCTAAGATCTGAATATCAAGAACTTGGTACCGCTTTTCAAGCACTTTAGTTCATATACACAGCTCGGTCAAGCGTGGGAAAGAGCAATAACTGCATCCGAAGACAGTTCTCGCTCACCATCGGCACGAAAATCAAGAAGCGACTACAAGAGAATTGGTTTTAGATCTTCGGGCTGTCACAGGAACTAGAATCAGCCGTTCTACTGCTGCACAGAGGATTGCGAGGCTTTACTTAATGCAAGAAGCCAATCATTTGTGTCCCCTTACATCATCTTCCAAAGAAATCTTATCAAGATCGTCATCATGATCCATAGCCAAAACAAATGGTACCGTATTCTGTTTACAGACAAGCCTACACAAAGCTTCTCAACATTAATTTTAGATGGAGAATCTTCGATCTACATGGAGCGAGGAACACATAACTTGTCATTCCTTATTCATGAAAGATCTCATTTCCATGGAAGTGGTTTCCTGGCTTGCAGCGAATTCATAAAAAATGGCCCCATCACGCTGCATATCTTTCATGGAGGTTCTATAGCCGACGACAGATATGTGCACTTGACCCCCACGTAAGGTTCTTGTAATAGTATTATGTCGGCTGTGTAGTTGAGTGCAAATTCAACACTTTGTGCTGATGCTGATTGTGCCTTTTGTAGATTGATTTGCAGACATCGTATTTGCTTATTTTGTTGTTGGTGAGCTATGTTTATAGTCTTGAAGTTCTGTATATTCTGTTCAATATTTTGTGGCATACATGCTGATAAACTACACATTATTTTGTTGTTGGTAATTTAAGGATTGAGCAGTATAAACAGATGTTTCTTCGTATTCAGTTCTCCTTTTGATTTTGTTAACTTGGTGCAAAAAAGAGGGACAATTTGGAGAAGCAGCTGCGTGGTTGATATCAAATTTAGTGTAATTTTTTTTTCTTAAGTTTACAGTTAATGCAAGTTGGTGTTTCTGATAAACAATCTTTTGCGTAGTGGTTTTGACTACAAAAGAAACAGTAGGGTCTTACTTTACAGTCTCTGTTTGTATGACCGAAGTCCTGACAATTGTAACAACGTTTTATGCCGTAAAATTCTCTTATTTTACAACTTATCCATTCCAATAGAATTTGTGAATGCTTCAGGCAAGATTTGAAGACGTTTGGGGTGCAACTGACAACCCATCTCACTAGATCCCTGGATTTGTCAGAAAGTTTAAATAGTGGTTTGAGATCTTGACTGTCACAACCTGTTGTCATTGAAAGTAGACTAATTAAGATATCAATGGAGGTATTGCTGGAAATATTGTCGATAATTATTTTTGGAGTCCTTTTTTGAGCTAATCGGTAGTCCACTAAATTAGATGCCACTTCATTATTAGCAAATAATGAAGTAAATAATTTATACAAAAAGAAGACATAATACAACCACCCCGAGCTGCAATAATATGCTGTAATCAAAATTGGACACCATACATAATAGCTGCAGAATGAGATCAAGTGGTAATTCTTCTCGAAATCGAAAATATTTCAATAATTTTCATTTCTATTTATTCAAGCCCTACAGATGACCTCACAGCAACATTTGCTTTTCTAGAAAAGATTTTCAATTCAACAAATACTCATCATCAAATTATATGCGGAGATTTTAATGCACATAATATTACCTGGGGATATGCATCAACAAATCCAAAAGGTCGAAATTTTGAAAATTTTATCTCATCTAAAAATCTAATCATTCACAATACAATAGATGCTCCACTACTTTTGATAATAGTTATGCAATAGGATGGCCGGACCTCACTCTCACTACACCACAAATGGCACCTCTCATCCAAAACTGGGCAGTAGAAGAAGAACAAAAGCTTATCTGATCATAAATTTATTACATTTCAACTTGAAGAGAGCACATCTGTTCCAGTAATAAAACGATACACTCTTGCCAAAAAATAAAATTCCAATACTCTCTAGTAAAATAAAAAAATATCCTTTCAATTCACGAGCAACAACTACAAAACATAGAGTCACCTGAAGAACTTGAAAATCTTACCGACCTTCTGCTAAATAGTTTACAACATATAGGCAATGAAATCCTCCCAAAGTGCCAATCTAAAAAATTGTAATCATTAAAATGGTGGACAAAAGAGTTAAGAATTCAGCAAAAGAAGTGCAGGTCCTTACGTAAACTAAAATCCGAAAGGCGGCAATTGATACAATCAAATGTATTACAAATTTATCAGCGAGAAAAAGCTACTTATAAAAGGATGACATTGCAAGCCAAAATTAACTTTTGGCACAAGTACACCGAAAATAAAGAAATATATGGGTTTCACCATAAAATAGCCACAGATAAACTCTTCAAACCAATCAAATTATATCTTTCACCGACAAATTCTCAAGGATTTAATCTTCCAGATGCTACTATTAACCATATTTTAGAAACGGTTTTTCCAGAAGATGACATAACTCAAGACACACCTGTACATACTATAGTCAGAAATACAACGACTTTACCTTCAGCTAATGAAGACGTTGAAATTACCACCACAGAGATTAAAAATACCATCAACTTTCTATCTAAAAAACGAGCACCCGGCTCTGATGGAATTGACTATAACATTATTAGGGTTCTAATAAATTCAAAACTACATTTTTTCAAAATTTACTTCAATAAGCTTTAAAATGCAGGTCTACTTCCCAAAGCCTTCAAAATTGGACAAGTAATATTATTTCTAAAGAAAAACAAAGACCCTCAACTAGCCAGCTCTTATCGTCCAATCTGTCCTACTGTCGGCACTAGGTAAAGTATTTGAAAAACTTTTAATAAATAGACTTAAACATCATCTTTTCAAGATACAAGATAAAGTATCTTAGTGAACAACAATATGGTTTTCGACCAGGTAAATCTTCGATACATGCTCTTACAAATATTACGGATGATATTCTTACTAATCGCAATAATGGCCTTCATACAGCTTTTATTAGCATAGACTTAAAAATTGCTTTTGATACTTTGTGGCGGCCGGCCATCCGTCAAGCACTACGAGAGGCTAAATGCCCTGTTAATTTATTCAAAATATTTAATAACTATCTCTCAGATCGTCACCTGATAATCATAAAAAATAATGGGATAACAAAACGTCAAACTAGAGGTTGCCCGCAGGTCTCATGTGCGGGCCCTGATATGTGATATTGGGATAACATTTGACAAAATACTAAAAACTAATTGGCCATGCCACACTAAGGTATACGCTTATGCCGATGATGCCGCATTTATTGCTAAAGGACGCACAAGAAGAGATTTACAAAATAATTCCAATGAAACTTGCAAAATTTTTAGTAACCTCTGCCAAGATCTTAAGCTGGAAACAGCAGAAAATAAATCTCAGGTTCTCCTTATACCTAAAAAAATGGATCTTTATCACGTCGTCTTACCATCCGTCTACAAGATATTCGTCTTAAAATAGTAAAGCAACTTAAATATCTAGGGATCACATTCGACCAAAATATGAATTGGATCCCCCCCCCATATTATAGAACTCAAAAAACGCACCAATATCATAGCAACAAAGCTACGTCAAATGCAAGGACATCAGTGGGGATTAAATCCCCATATTCAAAAAATTCTCTACTCTACAGTCGTAGAAAAAATTGTCACATACTGTGCAGCCATTTGGGCAAATCCTA